GACATTTGACCCATGCCCAACCCATGTGAGGATTTGAGGGTGAATCGCCTAGAGACTCAACTTATTGGTGAGTTTTTTTTTTCTTTTTCTTTCTGATTTATTTTTATTTCATTTGATTTCATTATTTTATCTTGTTTTATTTTTTATGTGTTTATGGTATTATTATTATTATTATTATAGAAATAAATAAATAATGGTAAAAATATAAAATAAAAATAAAAGGTAGGTTTATTAAAATAAAAAATAAATAAAATCTTAAAGTATAATTTTTATGAAAATTGAGATTTTTTAAAAAATTTAATAGCAAAATATTTTTTCAATTTCACTAAAGTATTGGGATGATTTAAGAAATTATTTTTATTGTATAATAAAAATATACGAATATAAAAATAACAATTGCTTATTTGAATAAATCTTTTAAAAATGAAATCTTTAATTAATGCAAGTAAAAACATATTTTTAGATTTCGTAAATGAGTTGGGATAATCTAAAAATTATATTTGATGAAAATAACATTTTGTTTCAATAAAAAAAAACAATGAATAATAAAAAAAAGTGTTTGTTTAAATAAATCTCTTAATTATTACAAAAAAAATATATTTCTAGATTTCACCAAAGGGTTGAGATAATCCAAAAAATTATTTTCACTAAATTAATATTTATTTAAATAATAATAAAAACAAAAAAAATAAAAAATATTTTTTTAAAATTAAATTTCCTAATTATTACCAAAAATATTTTTTTGGATTTCACAAAAGTGTTGGAATAATCCAAAAAGTTATTTTTACTAAATAAATATTTATTTAAATAATAAGAGAAAAAAGATGAAAATAATAAATAGAAAATAATAACAGAAAAAAAACAATCACAATAAAAATTAACTAAATGTTTAATTAAATTTCTTAAGTAAGAATTTTAAGAAAATTTGAGAGAATCTCATTTTTCTTAATTATCATCAATAAAAAATTATTTTTTAAAATCCCGTCAAAAAGTTAGGATGATCTTAAAATCTATTTAAAATTTTTAGGATTCTGTTTAAGAGTCATGATAATTTTAAAATCAATTTAATAAAATTTTAGGATTTTGCCAAAGAGTTAGGATAATTTTAAAATTAGTTTTAATAAATAAACAAAATATCTTATGATAAAATTTTAGGAATTTTATGAATGATCAATTTTTTTGAAAATTTTCTAAATAAAGATATTTTCTATGAATTCCACCAAAATATTGAGGAATTTATAGAATGGAATAATAATAATAATAATAATAATAATAATAATAATAATAATAATAGTAATTTCACAACAAAAATTATTTTTTCATAAATAAATTTTAAGAAATTAATTTTAAATATAAAAAAAAACCATATCATCAAGATTAAAAAATAGTACATGTTTACTTAGTACAATTTTTTGAATGAACAACGTGAAGGTACTTATGCTTTTTTCACTTATAATTATACTTTCAGACTTAATTTTAATTTCGTAAATCTAAATATCTTTTAATAAATTTTAATTAATTTTAAAATTTTTATTAAAAAATAATATTTTTGAATGATCAATCATATCTTATAAAAAATATTGATAACAATTTTAAAAACTTTTATCATATCTAGCAATCGAATTTCTCGGTCGCAAAAATTTTTATGACATGATTAGCATTGAATTCATTCATTTTTTACCTGTTGCAGGTTTTGCTTATGTCTTTGAAAGCTGGTGGTGTGGGGTTGAATTTAGGTGAAGCCACTAACGTCTTCTTAATGTTATGTTCTCTGCTTTGCCTTCCTTAGCCTCAAACCTTTTCCATTTTTCTCACGGAATATTTTCAAGATATAGAGAACAAAAGAATGAAATTCTTATCTCTTGGTCATAATTTGTTACAATCCTTTTGTAGGATCCAATGTGGAATCCTGCAGTGGTTGCGATCATCAAGAGAACAGTTTCTCTTAGAAGGTTCATTGGTGATTTGGGTTCAGTCTCTCATCTATCTTTTTGTTTATGGAACACATTATGGTCCAAATGTGTTCCATAAAATGGGATTGAATGGGTCAACAATTGACTCTCAACGAATGGATTTGGTTAATACATGTGGAAGGCCCTAGTTTAATACACAACAATACAACCATGTAAAGCCGGCCTCCAGGTTTTTTAAGTTTGATTAGTTCTAACTTCTAAATGTCCCACCAATCCCGTGTTCTTAGCATTGCATAGAAGGTTGGACAGCTTGAACTTGGACTGGGAAATTGTTTATAAAAAATGAAATCTTTGATGGGTTTGTTCAACACCTAATCTAATTTGGCTGTTTCTGTTAATTTTTACTAGTTGATCAGGTCTTCCTGCCAGATTCTTGAGTTTCAACTGTTACCAAATTGAAACTTGAAAACGCTGATTTTTGCCATTGAAAAATGAACTAGGAAACGGTGGAGGAATGCATGCAACAAGTTCAGGCAAAGAAGGAAAAGATGATTACTGGTGCCCTCGCTGACGAAGGAGACGGATCAGCCTGGATTAAAGAGCTGGAAATGCTTTTCAGAGTGCAATGTAATTAAGAGAGAAATGGAAGCCCATTTTTGTAAATTTTGGTAGTATCAATTGGGAAACCTAAATGCACCCATTTTTTCTCTGTACATCTCACTTTTTTTATCAAAACTTTTTATAAGTGAAATTATTTAAATATTTTTCTCTCAAGTTTTATAATTTTTGAAAATTTATTTTTAAAAAATCATAATACTTAAATGCATTTTTAGAAAGTCATGACATTTTTTTTTAATTTTAAGAAAAATTATAAAAAATAAAATTTTTTAAAATTATTAATAAATAAATATAATAAAAAAATTATTATTAAAAAATTATAAAATTTAAAATTAATAGAAAATTTATTTTTATTATTTGCATCTTATAGTAAAAATAATATTTTATGAGGTCTTAATTAAATTAAAGATAAAATAACAAATATAATTTTTTTATAAATTTAAAATTTATCAATTTTTTAATAAATATTTTTTATATTGATTATTAAAATTTTATAATAATTTTAATTAAATTGAATTATTTGAAAAAATATCTCCATTTATTTATCATGATGAGTTTTTTCAATTAGCATATTAGATTTTTTATAAAATTATGTAGTATTCAATAATATTATTTATATAATTTAAAAAATTTTAATTTTTTTACATTGATCAACATGATAATTCATTTATCATCTTTTGTAATATAAAAAGATAAATATTTAATTAAGATCTTATAAAATTTTATTATTTTTTAAAAATCAAAATAATAAAAATATTTTTTATTACTTTTAAAATTTATGGTTTTTAATAATAACTTTTTTATTACATTAGTTTATAAATAATTTAACAAAAAATTTTTATAATTTTTCATAAAATTTTAGTTTTTCATTCTGAAAATATATTTTTGAAAGTGTTATAATTTCTCAAAAATAATAAATATCTAAAAACTTATAAAAAGAATATTTAAATAATTTTATTTGAAAAAAATTAAAATATAAAATATAAAAAAATATATTTTTAATTGCTCCCGGAAAATTATTCTCTCTTCAATAGTAGTAGAATATTTTTCCCAATCCAAATTTTCTTTCATATTTATTAAACTTTTGACTATTCAACAGTGACTTTTTGACTATCTAAAGTGCTTCCATTAAAGGAATATTTTTTCTAACCCAAAAGAAAAAAAAAAAAAGAAAAGAAAATCTTATTCTAAATATTCTTTGAATATTCTGAAATGACGGTCCTATCCTTGACTAAATGCCACCAAAATTTGACAAAGCCCTTAGCCACTCATAAAGACAAAAAACAGGTGTCAATCAAATCAAGGATTGGAATTGACACGTAACTCATGTCCTAGTCGTTGGATTGACACTGAAACAAAATAATAACCATCTCGGGCTCTTGCGTGTGGGTGGTCAAAATCCAGTGGAGCGTGGGGTACATTAACGCTACTCCCCACGGGTTTTACTTTTTAGTTGCGGGCTGTGGGGTCGGTCTAATCCGAGGTCGACAAGCCGTTTTTTGATTGTCTAGAAAGAGAACGTTTAGACTTTTGACTGATGATGGCCTGATGCTCTTTCTATGTTGCCCTTTCGGTTTGGGAGGTGGCTTGGCTTGAGAAGATTTTATTGGGCTGAGTCTGGCTTGGCTTTAATTGTTTTTTTTTTTTTTAATTTGAATGTTTTTGGGAAATGATGTTGGCTTTGCTTGGAAATTATTGGATTATTACCTTCTAAAGATAATCTAAATAGTTATTTAGATATCCATTTTAAAAAGATAATTATTATTTAGATTTTTGTTCCCATATAAAAGATTGAATGGCTTTATTATATTCCCTAGGCTCTAATTTTAGAAAAATTTTTAGATCAAATACTATTAAAATTAATTAAATATTTTTATTATTATTATTATTATTGTGCATTCCTAAAAAAAAAAAGAATTATCAATTCTATATATTTCTTTGATTCACAATTATTTTTACAAAAAAAAATAGTGGGTAATTAAGTTGAAAAGTAAAAGCTAATTGCAAAAGATGAACAATTAGGGCTACATTACTTTTTTTTTTTAAACAAAAAACGATAATAACAATTATAAAAAAAAAAAAAAAAAAAAAACTCTTCTCCACTTTTACATTTGGAATTAAGTCTAAGTGGTTTAATTAATTTTGTCATTATATATAATTACATATTTTCAAGTAGTTAAATCTCTAATATAATATGTCATTTTTTCATGATTTAATTAAAACAAAAAGCTATAAACCCAAACAAAAGGAATTGTAAAAAATCAAACATAAACTAAAATTAAAATTAAAATCCAGACAAAAAAAGAAAAAAAAAACAACAAATTTCCGAAAGTTTCCAAAAAGTAGTCGAAGTCAATAACTCTCTTGGCTGTAAAAGCCAAGCCCATATGCAAACTGACAGCTAACCTGACCTTTTCACGTGCGCTCCACATCCCCCTCCTTCCTTATAAGCCCTCCGCTCACCGCTGTATCCTCATTATTTTCTCTCTCTTCCAACCAAAAAAAAAAAAGCCTTTTTTGCTCCCTCTCAACTAAATCACCAAAAACCTCAGATTTTCCCTCTGATCCATGTCAACTACACCGAGGAAAACCTCCGCTATGAACAGAGCCGATCGACGTCAGCCCAGCCGACTTCAACGGCGTGCTCCGGCTTCCCTACAGATTTGTCCGGTTTCGAGCTGGAACGTTGCGATCCCTCTCTTATCACCGCTGGCTTCTTCGCCTCCCTCGATTGATCGTAGGACGACTGAGAAAAGGGTAGAGCCACCGCGTCAAGAACACCAGCGGCAAAGCCAAGCAACGGAGCCTGAGAAGCTTGTGTTTAAGATGTGGCAGCATCCAGCGGCGCCATTTTGTTACGAGCCGACGCCGTTAGTGCCGTCGTTTGTGCCGGTTTAGATGTAGAGAAAGAAGAAGTAAAAGTTGTTGGATCTAACGGCTTGCGTTGAACATGTTTCTGTTCAACGACCAAGTCACTAATTTTATGAAATTACAGAAATGTCCATCAATATGTTCATATTATTATACTTTTAAATACAGTCTTACAATTCCAATTTATTTCATTTAATTCTTTTTCCTGTTTGGGGAGTGAGAAAATGATAGAAAGCGAAAGTTAACAAGCGAAATTGACAAGGAATTCACTTCAAATAGACTGCAATGTGACTATGTGTCGTATAATATACGTGTATATAAAAATTTGTATTATATACGAATATATAAAAGCTATTGTGATATAATTGATATTGACATTTAAATATAAAATATATTTTTTAAATTTGTTTAGATTGAGATGTTTTTATATTTTATATTGTATTGTGTTGTATTTAAAATTATTAAATTTAATTTCAAAGGAAATAAAAAATAAGAGAATGAGTCAAAATGGTGATGTTTTAGGTGCCGACTTGATTTATTTTGGGGGTTTTATTATGATCAGATCCTGTTTCAACGGCCAGCTTGAATGAAAGGGGCACCCTATATATAGAGAAGAAGATAGAGTAAGGAAAACGAGTAGGAAAATTAGGAAGACGTTGTTTTGCATTATTTAAAAATCGTATGCTAAGGGCCAAAAACTATTTCAATGTTAAAAGTTTGCCTGACTTTGTTTGGTTTAGGAGCTTGTACCTATTCTTTTATATATATATATATATATATATCCATTTTTATGTAATAAGATAAGATTTCCACATGAATTTTTTTTCCCTCACATTTTTTGGAATCTTTTAAAAGCAAGTAGCCAATAGTAGTTTGGAATATCTAGTTGGGGTTGTTGAATTTTAAATGGTTTTGTTTACTTCTATTTTACTTGTTAATTTGTTAATTTTAATTATTAAAATTAAATATTGATAATTTTAAATATAAAAATGTTTAATATAAATACTTAATTTTATCTAAATCAATTTAATTTTTGTTTAAATTTTACGTTTGATTTGAATAATTTTGATTTGAATAATTTGATTAATTTAAGTATTTTAATTGAATTAACGTATTTTGAGATTACCTCAGATTTATTGTTCTGAAATCATTAAAATCCAGTGTGGTTTAAGATTCGAGTCCAAAAATCTAAGTCGATTCAGTCTCGGATCAACATTCAATCAATTGGGCTTAAAGGCCCAATAAGAGCTCAGATCGATTTTCAAGGCTCAAACTGCCCAAATTAAGTTTTAAGCCTAATTTTATTTATTTATTATTATTATTTTTATTTTTATTTCTATTTTGTTAAAAAAAAAAAAACAAACAAAATCAGAAGAAGTGGTCGGCAGCCACCGTATCAAGGCAGGAAACTACCTATTATGGCCCTAACAAGCCAACACTCTCCATTACCCTGTAGTATTTGTCCCTAACGGAGATTCATAGATTAAAAACCAAGAGCACCCACAAAGCTTAGGTCCTTGAAGCATCGTCCAGCCCTTCCCCTGAGCATCGCACCTCCCAGCTTGCAAAACACCCCAACCACAGATGAACTCCAAGCCACCAGTCCTAGTCCCGGCGGCACAAACCCTGACCAAGCCACCCCAGATCATCCTTCATCAACCTACCCCAAGATAGTCCCTCCCACAGCCACACACCATCCTAATACCAGGGCACTCATTCAAAACCTTCCATTCCCTTGCCAGACTTCCCCAGCACCGCACACTTGCAAACCTCACACCCAACACAGGCTTTCACAAGTACCACACTTGAGACCTAGCCATCCCAGTCCTTACCCGCACCATCACCAACAATAGCCCCTCCTAAAACACTAGCCCCGACCAACCCTTACAAGCACCACCCAAGCCACCGGCCAATATAAAAAACCCATTCACAACACCAAAATTCGGAGCCTTTGCCACAGCTCTTCAACCAGAACCCTTTACCTTTGCACGCACCAACCCAGTAACTACGGAGCCCCCAACACCTTCCCTTCCACCTTATCAGTATCTTCCACAAATCAAGCCCTAAACAACCTTAGCTCCTACAGCATCAACAAAACACTCCCAACACCACCCTAAGTCCTAGAACCCCCAACACCGCCTTAAGTCCTAAAACCCCCAACATTGCCCCTCAGATCCCTAAACTGGCCACAACCAACAACCAAAAAAACAAAACTATAAAAAAGAACAAAACATAGTCCTCCCCGTAAGGAGGAACCTCAACACCAACAAGCAACAATGCCACTGTCAGTGATGACAAGGGATGGCGATGGTTCATAGCAGAGGAAGATAGAAATAGTAGTGGTTGATCTTTGATTTCAGGGTTTGATTTAAGCTATGGACTAGTTGATATTTTGGACAGAAAAAAGAAGGTTTGCAGAAAAAAGAAGGAATTGTAGGAAGCTGGTTGGGTTTCTAATACAGACTGGTGACAACCAAAGACAGAAGGTCATGAACGGCGCACGGTGGTGGAACTCGCTGGGTTTTAAGGTCTGAGCAATTGCCAATTGCTTAGGTTTGGCTGGGTTGGAGAGAAAGGGATTTAGAAAAAGGGAAGGTCTCCGGTCATTACCAAACAGCACTGCGGTCGACGAAAGCTATGTGGGAAACTTTTGATTTTCTTTGAAGAAAAGTAAAAAAAATTTTATGAAGAAGTATGAAATGAATTTAAAAAAACAAAGTTTGTCTTATATGGAAAAGAAAAAAAAAGCAAGGAATTAAGCGAGTCAAAACTGACCTGACCTAACCTAGGTCCGATCTACTGGACAACCTTTGAACCAGGCCACAAACAAGAACCAATCCTCAACTCACCTACTTTGGCTTTTTTATTGAAATGAGTTTTGATTCAAATTGTGATAAATTTATTTAAATTCAATTAGTGACCTGTTATTTTTACATGTATTTTTATAATTTATATTTAATTTAAGTTATTGATAATATCTTTTATTATATTTAATTTAAATTGTTGATAATATTTTTTACATATTAAATGGCTAAGATTGTAATTTCAATTTAACTTGGTGTAATTATTTATTTCACCACATAAATTTAATGAAATTAAAATTAAATGAAAATTTTTTATGATGGGATTTCGAAAGGTCTAAGTAGTGATTCTCAAAAAATTTTTAGGTGAGAAAAAATTTTTAAAAATTGTTAAAGTATTGAAATATTTAAAAACTTTTTTCAATATAAAGATTTTTATTTTTCTTTAATTTGAATAATTTTTTTAGAAAAGAAAAATATATATATATATACCTATAAAATATTTATAAGAGTATGCATTTTTTTAGGAAATAAACCTATTTATAGATAACAATACTGTTACATGATTTTTAAATATTAATAATTATAAAAAAGGATAAAAAAGAAAAAATGAAATCTCCAAGGACGAGATCTTAAAGAAATCTGAATAATTATTCTTTAGGAATTTCTAGGTAAAACAATTTATCTAAAATGTCACCAATGTATTAGAGCATTCAAAATAATTTTTTATAATGATTTCTCGTTTTAATATAAAAGATAAATTTTAGAAAATATTTTTTTAATTTTAAATTATAGATATCATATTCTATAATTTGCATTATAAATATTGATTTTGAAAATAAACATGAACCATTGAAGATATGATTTTTGAGAATTTCAAGTAGTGATTTTTAAAAGATTCCTTATGTGAAAATATTTCTTTTAATATTGAAAAAATATTGAAATATTTTTAAAAAAATTTTAATAAGCAAGGTTCTTATTTATTTATTTATTATTATTATTATTATAAACCAAGATGATGATGATGATGATGATAATAATAATAATAATAATATTTTTTTGCAATAAAGAAAATAAAAAATTTAAATTTAAATACCAAAATTAAAACCATTTTAGTCAAAATCAAAAGATAATACATAATTAATTAATACTGTTTTTATAGATACTATAAGGTGTTAATCTTTCTCCATGCGTAATCGACTCTCAAACTCAGAGTATTTCGTAAACCCCAAAATTATTTTTATGATAAAATACTAATTAATTTTAAAAATTTTATTAAAAAGATAAGTTTTAATAAGTGGCTAATCATACCTAACAAAAAAAATTTGTGGCAGCTCTTTTCATTTTCAAATTTGTCTAACGGCTTGAAAAATCATTATGATAGCTTAGTGATTTCGCTGGGGATGTCATTTTTTCAAAGAGTTAAGTTACAAAATTAATTATATGTTATCTTTAATTTTGATTTAATGGTCTTAATTGGTATTTAACTTTAATTTTCTTGATTTTGATTTTGTTTTTTTTAAAATAACAATAAGTAATAAAAAATTTACATGCATTTCATTTTAATTGTGTCATTTGTTCATTATTTATTTTATGTATATGTTATTCTTAATAAATTGTGGAGCATAAGATAAAGATTGTGATGTTATTTTCTCTTACACACACATTGACACATTTCATATCATGTATGAGCTCTATACCTAGGCTTTATCCCTTTTAGGAGTGAGTAGAGTATCTGTGCTCTCATGAGGTAATAACTTCCATAATGACAAGTAAAATACTCCCACTCAAATTGAACTATTTTGGTTTGTAGTCTATAATGGGTGAGAATTGAGATGCCTTACTAGTTATATATGGATGCCAATGAAGAATAATTTAGGAACCTTTAGATTTATAAATCCTCACTTAGTATATAATGAACTTTTAGGGACCAATCTTTGATATAGCGTTGCCAACCTTTTTGTAGAAACAACCTAAATATGCATTAAAATTAAAAAAAAAAAATCAATAATAAAAGAAAGGCATTTTCTTGAAAAAAGAAAAAGAAAAAAATTTTATTTTGACATGTAGTTCGTTCATTTTATGGTTATCCAAATTTTGTATTTTCAGAAAAGGTTTTAAAATAAAATGAAGAAATTTTCCAGCATTATCCAACAAAAACAAAAAAAACAAAAACAAAAGTTTTCAAGCAAAAATAAATGTTTATCTTGAATCCTTTGTTTATTGGCCAAATAAAGATTAATGAAAAAGAGAAAAATCTTTAAATCTAGTTATTCTGTGTGATAAAAAATGTGTGTTTTTAAATTTTTTTATTTTCTAAAAAAAATAAAAAATAAGGAAAAAAAGAGGATTTTAAATTTAAATATTGTTTCATTTTTCACATTGTCATT